GAAGGTGATTCAATGACCCCTTTAAGCTCTAATAATGATAAATCTATAAATAACTTAAACATTTCATTATTGTCCCAGCTTCTGTGATGCAGCTAGTAGCATATGGGAGAGAAGCATTAGAAGTCACATGTTAACCATGGCTATATTTCCGACTCATAGGTCTGAAAATGTGCCAGGATCCCAGCAGACTAAGGAGTACCAGAAGGGGGTCACTGTGTAAGCAAGCTTTGTGAAGGGTGCTTCTTTCTTTCTTCTAATCTCTCTTTTGTATATGCACACTCTCTATCATGAATGAAAAACACTAACAATTATTAGGACTACTACTACCTCTTCAACTGGAACATTTATAGAATATCCATTATGTGTGTCTCTGACTTGGGTGAGAGACATGACATAAAACAAAATTCTATTTAGATGGGTTACCCAAACAGAGTCTGATATAAAGATGGTAAATACATACAAGTTTAAAGAGTTAAGGCAAGGAAATTTACACATCTATATATTAACTGCAGTAAACAATGTCTACACTTAGACCTGAAGATGGGTAGTCAGTGGCTACTGTCATCAGATCTCTGTGAGGGGTGAAACAAGAAAGAAAATTCACCGTTTTCTTCCCCCAAGACACAGCCCAGCGGTTTTCTTTAGAGGGATGCAGCCACTCTAGTATGCTCATATTGTGGTAGGAAAGGAATGAGAAAGAAAATAAGAGACTTCCCTCTCCTTTCAACTTCTTCCCAGTCCTTCCCTTGGACCAAATTCACTTGAAATTAGACACAAAAATTTCCAGATGCATCCAAAGAGGTAAAAGTCCAGGTGGACAAAGGAAGGCAAAGATAAGGCAATCCATTTGGATAGCGATAGGTAGCAAAGATAGACCCACCAGCACACCTAGTTTATCTATAATTTCAGTGTTCTCACAGGTACGTATTAATACTGTTAGATTAAGATATCGCTCAAAATCAGAAATTAGTCTAAGTTCAACAAGAGTTCATTGATCTTCCTAAGGTTTTCCAGACTTCTAAATTTACTCCCTATATCATTCACTTTTCTTCTTTATAAGCAGTAAGTCAGAAGTTTCTCAATCTCAAAAATATTAAGACATTCAAGTGTAAATCAAAATAAATAGTGAATCCCATTGCATCATCTTTCTCGAGAGATCTGATCCCCTGATAGCAGTAAGAGACAGCACAGCTCAAGTCCTCAATGAGTTGACATTTTCAGAAGGGTAAAAAGATAGTGGGTGTTGATAATCTAAATGACTTTCTGCTAGAATTAATTGACCCACAGGGACTTGGCATCTATAAAACAATTCTATTATAAACTCTTCAGGTGCTTCATGTGTCTGCTGTCATTGTGAAATTATTTTCCTTTCTCAGGTAGGATTAGACATTTGTTTTTCATTTTGAAATGTAGAAATAAGTACTTTTATTAATAAAAAATGAATTTACCTGAGTAATGATCTGATGACTGAGCAGATGTTTCTGTTAAAATTTTTTTTGACCAGCAAATGGTATGGTGGTTAAAGTGGCTGGTTCTCATGTGGCTGATGATGTGGTTCTAATCCTGGACGGAAAGCCTGAGAAACACCCTAGGCACAACTGCATACATGTCCAAAATTCTTAATGGAGGAATAGATGTTCTAGAGGCGTTGATCCCCATAGGGAGTATTTTCTCACTTTCCTTCTCTTTTTCCTTCTCTCTGTATTGAGAGAATGTACCATCTACTATAAATGTTTCAAAAAGAAGTTACTATTCACAGAATCGAGAGAGTCATAAATTAAATGTACAATGGAATTGTGCTTGTTTAATGGAAAGTGAGTTACAACCAAGAAAATGTTAATTTCATCAGTATTTTTTTCCTTCAGTATTTATTGAATGCATCCGATTACTGATTTCTCTGCAATTATAGGTTAGATAAAATCCTTTCTCTAAGGCGTTCATGTTTAGTCTTCTTCTAGACTAGATATAATCTGTCACTATAATACTTAGCAACTACAACCTTTTGAATGCTTACTACATGCCAGACATCTTATACCAACTTTCTTTGAATTAACTCCTCAGGAATGATTATTATTAATAAAATATTTTTAATAGAAAAACAAATTCAAAGATAGATTTATAATTTGCCAGAACTATATAGCTAGGAACTAATGGAACTGTAGTTTTTACTCAGTAAATAGGATTGTAAACTCCCAGTAACGGCTACACTATCAAAAATGTCATGCTCTCCATGAATACTCTGGAAAATCATATTGTGTGCTATAGAGGTATACCCAATTAAATATGAATAAGACATTATAAAATTAAAAAAATATTGAGAGGAAATGTCAGCTAGATATTTCTGGGAAACCAATTTAATATTTGTGAGTCAATAAATGCTAAATGATTTCCAATAAGTGAGGCACAATAATAGAGATTTGATTAAATCATAAATCTAAAAAAGATCCACCATGATTATTCTGTTTCATGAAAAAATAAAATAAGGGACTAGTATATAATAAACTTTATAATTCTTTTTGAACTAATCTCGGTATACTTTGTAAGGACTATACCATGCAATATTCTGTGTGTGTACACACCCTTGATTAAAAAAAAATTGGCTACTTTCAGGTTTATATTATATATTAATTTATTAATTTATTTTTAGACATATTTTTGCTATAGGGCATGTGTGCTTGCCAAAGAAACAGAAAGAAAGTGAGCAATTACCAAAATGCTTCTTCTCCCTTCTCATCTCAGGATCTTGGGCATGCATGCACAGGCACCAGGCATGAGTTTTAAGACATTAGGTCTGGGACTAAAACCGTGGTTGACTATGTGGTAGTCTAGCGACATAACCATTATGCCATCTGCTGGTGCCTATATTAAATAGTTAAGGTGAATGCATATTCAATAAGTTCATTTATTTTTTCCGAGAGAGAGAGAGAGAGAGAGAGAGAGAGATAAAGAGAAAGAGGCAACACCCCATATAGAGTCTTAACATCACAATCCACCCCTAGCCTCAGCCAGTCCCAGACCATGGGCATGGTCATGCCAGGTGAACCCAGGTAGGCCTCCAGATGCAACCTCAAAACTTTATTATATGAGTCAGTCTTCCATAGCATTGATTTTGCTTGTGACCACTATCTGGCTGTCAATGTTAATTTAAAAATGCATTTTATGCACCCAGCTGCAGTGGTGGTGCAGGCAGTGGTGTGCCATTGTGCGATGCTAGAGTCATTTGTGAAGACCTGGAGTTAGATACCTAGGTCAATCTGGGTGTGTTTGTGTACACACAAACATACCCATGAGTATATCCATGATTCCAGCACTTAAAAGATAGGGAGGAAATCTTCTAGGCTCTTGGGGAAACTGCAGTGACAGTGAGCATTTATGTCACAGAACTTCAGGGGAAGGTGAATTTCAGGAGTATAAAGTCTCAGATGCCCCCTGAGTTCTCTGATCACTTCCAAACTTTTCTTTCTGGAGTTTCTTGCTAAACCACATAGGATACTGTGTTCTTTTTCTTAAATGAAGGTTATTAATGTAATGTCCACTTTATGGGATTCCCTAATTTTCCCACAGTACAAAAAAATAAAAAAGAATAGAGATATTATTTGAATCTTGTTTAATATTTTAACATGGGAGTCATTAAAGTTACCATTCAGCACCTATAGAATATTTGCCTATTTGGCAATTATTATGAAAAAATTTAGTTAGACTTCATGAGTTTATAAAGAAAAAATACAAAATAATTAGGATTCCATTGATTTAGTTAACTGGTTTTGTGCCTTGTTATGGTAGTCAATACTCCAGTTCACATGGATAGAATGTGATGGATCAAAGTACTCAAACACTGAATTTACAACGTGCTTTGGAAAGTGACCTGTTTAAATCACTGGTATCATAGTTATTAACAATCAGTTGTAACTCTTTTTTATAGCAAGTCACTTTTATTAGCAAGACTCTGTAATCAAAGAATGTGCTGAACAAAGATTTCCCTTAAAGATTTAATTTCAGAATCAGTGTAACATTTTCATACCTAGATATATGCCATCAAAGGAGGGCACTGATTTTCTGTGATGGTCTCTATGTTGGGAGATGGGCTTCATGGTACCTTATGTACCATCTCAGTTACGTGGTTAATATCATTTTTATTTCACTATATTTTAACAACTGGAAATTTATATTTAAAGAACTTACACTGATTTCATGTTATAGACGGGTTTCTTAATTTTGCAAAAGTTGGAATGAGGTAGAGCTACACCAAAATCTGTATGATCTGAGGATTCATTTCTCTACATTTTTCTCATTATTGTCCCCAGAGTCTTTTGATATATTTGTTTTCTCCTAAACCATTACTACTCATGAATTCTTAAAACTACCAATACAGTATATTTGTACTGGTATACTCACACATACAATCATATGTATATTGTTCATGTTCTCCAAAAAGTAATTGTATACCTGTTTGGACAAGGCTCTTCAAATATATCGAAACTTGAAGAATAGGCTGGTAGAAAATCATTTGAAAGTATGACCTTAACAAAAGATCTATAATAGGATAGATGTTTAAAATATCAGTTCCAAGGACCAGTAGGTGATGTAATGGTTAAGATGCTGGACTTCCACATAGTTTGAGTCCCAGACCCAGCAGCTTCAAAATCACACCATGCATGTGAACAGTTGTGCTCAAAATTCCAGTAGGAGAAATGAAGAGAAAGGATTGTGGCATGGCCATTCCTTGAGGGTGATTTTTTACTTTCCCTCTCAGTCTCTCTGGTGAGTGCACATGACCTATGACAAAAGCCTAAAAAAAAATAAAATTCTATGCTTATTAGGCTACTTCTTACATGACATTCATTTACAAGTTTGAGAGAAGAAGAAATACAGATGAAGTGTCAGGGATAATGAATAAATGACAAAGTGCTGAAGTCAAATGTGTTTTGCTTTTCTTTTATTTTTTTTAATTTTTTTTTTTTAAAGACTTGATTGGGAAGCCAAGAAAACAAGAAAAGGCGATGTTAAAGAGAAACCACAGCACAATAGTGACAGAGTTTATTCTTTTGGGACTGACAGGTGGGGCTGAGCTGCAGCCTGTCCTGTTTGTGGTATTCTTACTCATCTACCTGGTCACAGTAGTTGGCAACATGTGCATGATTTTCCTAATCAGGAGTGACTCAAAGCTTCACACTCCAATGTACTTCTTCCTCAGTCACCTGTCCTTCGTAGATCTCTGTTACGCCACCAACGTCACTCCTCAGATGCTGGTTAATTTCTTATCCAAGAGAAAAACCATTTCCTTTGTTGGTTGCTTTATACAGTTTCACTTTTTTATTTCCCTAGTAATCACAGATTATTACATGCTCACCGTGATGGCTTATGACCGCTACATGGCCATCTGCAAGCCCTTGTTATATGGCAGCAAAATGTCTGCTTGTGCCTGTCTATCTCTCGTTGCTGCTACATATATTTATGGCTTTGCAAATGGCTTAGCCCAGACCATCCTGATGCTCCGCCTATCCTTCTGTGGACCCAATGAGATCAACCACTTTTACTGTGCAGACCCGCCTCTTCTAGTCCTCGCCTGCTCAGACACCTATGTTAAAGAAACCGCCATGTTTGTGGTGGCTGGCTCCAACCTCACCTGTTCGCTCACCATCATCCTCATCTCCTACATTTTCATCTTCACAGCCATCCTGCGTATTCGTTCTGCTGAGGGCAGGCGCAAGGCCTTCTCCACCTGTGGGTCCCATCTGACGGCTGTCACTGTCTTTTATGGGACACTGTTTTGCATGTACCTGAGACCCCCTTCTGCGTCATCTGTTGAACAGGGGAAAGTTGTTGCTGTGTTTTACATCTTCGTGAGTCCCATGCTGAACCCTTTGATCTATAGCCTGAGGAACAAGGATGTTAAAAGAGCAATAAGGAAAGTTATCCAAAAGAAGCTGTTTCAGAAATAGATAATTTGGCAATGGTTATGTAGTATATCCTTATTATCTGGACAGTTTATGTGCATTTCAAGTCAGCAAGTATCTTTCTGTCAGGGAGTCATTTTTGTCCTGTATGGAGCTTAGAAATATGTTTTAGATTATTAGCTAAGGTTTACAATGCCATTTTAGTGAATTAAAAAATAATAAACCAACAAAAATCCCAGTAATGTAAAGACATGACCAAAAAGCATTTTTATAGTGCTTAGGAACTTTCAAACTATATTCCAGAAACTTGTGAATTATAGTAGCGGAAGTTATTCCTTTTTTCCTTCCATAATAAATGTTTTAGACCAGTAAGGATTATTTAGATACATGAAATGTTATTATTCCTAGATATATGTTTAGACTGATACTGCTGGTCCACTTTAATCCTCACTTACTTAGTCTTTTGATGAGAATGCCTAATTTTTATAGGGTTTTTTTTTGTTATTGTTTAATAGTATGTATTCTTATCAATATTTGACCTCTCTTCTCTACTTCTTTTTCACTATTGTCTGTTTATTTTATTTATTTGTTTATTTTTTGTTTGTTTGTTTTAAGAGAGATTTTAACTATAGAGTGTATGTGCTTACTGGAGAGAGAGAGAGACATAGAAACAGAAAGTGAGAAATCATCCCCCAGCTGGACAGCCACCCTGAAATCCCTTCTCCTCCATTCTCTTCTGGGGATTTTGGGCATGCATGCGTATGTGCCCAGTATGAGTTAAAGCTGCCAGGTCCAGGATTAAAACCAAGGTCAACTAAGTGGCAGTCCAATGACAAGTGCTGTAACCATTATGCCACCTACTGGTCCATTGTCTGTTTATTTTTAATCAATGGACTGCAGTAGATACACAGTAGTGCGTAAGGCTGTGTGTCTGTATAGTTTATTACAAGATGACATTTTCACTTGTTTATTGCTTACTTATATCTCTTGGGAAAAATCCATGTCTTTTTTGGCCTGCTTTTAAATTGTGGTGTTAGTATTCTTTGTCATTAATTGTGGACTTCTTTCTTAAAGTCACAAACCCATTTTCTGTTTTAGATAATATTTACAAACACAGTGTGTGCTCAGAAAAAATCATGACATATTTTTATATGTTTCTATATGCAAAAATGCTTGACTTTTATGACAATTTCAATACATAGTATTTACAGTCCACTTTACTTCTTATTATCATATCTTAATTTTTAATTCTGAGATATCTTTTCTAAAGGGTGCATGTGCTTACTGGAGAGACAGAAAGTGAGAAATCGCCCCCTGGGGGCATGGCCATGCCACCACCCCTTCACTGCTTTATCTTTGCTCTTAAAAAGTTAAATACTTTGCCACTTATGATCACAGAAATTTCCCTTCATAATTCTATTCTTTTTTTTTTGGAGAGATTTTTGCTATAGGGCACGTGCACTCACCAGAAAGACAGAGAAAGACAGAGAGATAGAAAGCGAGAAATCAGCCTCCCGGGGGGATGGCCACACTGCAATCTTTTCTCCTTTATTCTCCTTTCGGGATCTTGAATACAAACGCACTCATGCCTGGCATGAGTATAAGCCACTGGGTCCAGGACTCGAACCACAGTCAACTATACAGGAGTCCAGTGACATGTCATTACAACAACTCCTGTTCCCTAATTATATTGAATTTATGCTTTTTCTTATTAATATTTTATCTGAATAATTCCCAAGTCAAATATAGAAAGTAGTATTAAAAACTACCTGTGGAAGTAAAACTAATTAATCTTTATACTATTCCACCTTTTTTAATGTTTTAAATTTTTTTTTATTTCAAAAAAGTTCTTTTATACATTCAATCACGTTATTTAGCTTGCAAAAATCAATATTCCAGCATGTGTACATTTCTCCCCAGTCTAGTTGATATTACTATAAATTTATCTTCAATAGATAATACCCCATTTCTTTGTTCCATGAATGCTATGCCTCTCTATTTTCCTTCCTCAGACTCTATTACAATGTTCAATCCTCCCTGCTTAATTCTGTCCTTGTCTCCATTTCCTGAAATAATTACTAATATGAACTTAAAATTTTTATACCTTTGGAAAGGTACATCATTTACTAGGTGTGTACATATCCTTGGAGTTATATAATAATATTTGCTAGGCTGATGACTTATTATAAATTAAATACACTCCATGTACCCTGAAATGTGTGTGTTTTTACTGAAACATTATTGGATTTATTGATGCTGAATATGTAACAGCAATTTCACTGATACAGTATGCGACCATGTTATGATGTATATAGTCATTGTACTACTGACTGTCAATTACATTTTTTAAAGTCCCTTGATAATGTAAAAATCATCCAGCAACAAATGTTCTTATGTAATTCTGAATGTGTACCAGAGAAAGATCTTCTCTCATAAGGCATGAACATCTTTTTGTTTTTCCCAATTAGCTCTAGGGTGGGAGCATTCACTTGACTAGAGAAACTCAGGTGGGGGGAAAGAGAGAAAGAATGTAAGAAACTACCCCCAGGAGAAATGGCCACACCATATTCCCTTCTCATTTTCTTCTAAAGATTTTGGGCATACACACACAGAGTGTTTTTCAAAATACCAAGTCCAGGACTCTGTGCTGTCATCCATGTCAAATCCAGCCACCTTAATCACTACACCACTGGCTGGCCCTATATGAACAACTTTAAATGCTATAAATATCTTGATCATTGTTTTGCACATTTATACTCTTGCTAATAGTGTGTACTGCTCTCTTTACTCTGCATTCTTGCCAATACAGCATAGGTATTGTCAGCTTCTAAATGTCTATAATCTGATGGATGAAAAATGGATCCTCATTTCTTGTTTAAGTTTGGATCACCATTATAAGTGAAACTAAATATTTTAAATGCATTAATAATAATTCATGATTTCTCTTTTTTATAGGCTATTTGATTCTATTTGTCTGCTTTTCAGCATGATCGTTTAATCTTTTTTTGTGTCTAAATTATAAGAGCCCCTCATATATTGTGCACTGAACACTAATCTTTAATGTTACATGCAGTGGAAATATCTGCACTCTGATTATAACCTTTATTTCATTTTTGTGCTTAAGGTATGTGTTGCTGCAGAAATTACTCATTTTAATGCAGTTCAAATGTATTGATCTTCTCTGTATGGTTGTACTTTGTATGTTTTGTTTGAAAACTCTTGCCCATGATAATAGTGTTTTCTTCTATTTTTCTCAACATTATAGGCTCTTGCTTTAGAACATTATGGTCTCTATTTTCCCTGGTAATACATATGTTGTAGAATGGAATCAAAATTGATTTTTCCATGAAAATCACTAATTCTCTATTTTGTGAATACTTCCTTTCTTGTTAGATATTTTTAGTTCAAACTCTATTATGTACCAAGTTATGATATATCATTCTGTTTCTAGGATCTTCATTGTAGAATCCATTTGTCTGTATAGTGTGTGTGTGTGTGTGTGTGTGTGTGTGTGTGTGTGTTTGTGTGTGTTGCTACAGTTGCTTGTCAGAGAAAGAGAAATAGTGAGACAGAGAAAAGTGGAAAGTGCCCCTGAGTGTAGCATGAACACTCTACAATCCTTACTCCTCCAAGTGGTCGGGATTTTGTGTAAGCACTTGCTCATGCCTGGTGTATCCATGCTCAATGGGGCTTTAGAACTGAGTGGTTCGAGTCCCAGACCCGTTGACTTAAACTCACGCCGGGCATGTGTGACTATGTGCCAAATATCCCAAGAGGAGAATAGAGGCGAAGGGATTGTAGCGTAGTCCTCCCCCCTGGGGGGTGATTTCTCACTTTCTGTCTCTGTCTCTCTCTTTCTGGCAAGTGCAAGTGCAGTATGGCAAAAAATTTCCCCCAAAAAAGGAAAGTATTTAGGCAGCAGAAAAAAAATTTTTTTCAACTTTTATTACTTGTATTTATGTGAAACATCAGGATAAACCATACAAAAAATAAGGTTAGAGTAAACTTTCCACATTAATTTGAGAAAAAATATATATACTAATGCTTAAATATATTCACATTTCATAGGATGTAAAATATTATTCAAGTTTGGTATACACCTATATTTTGCTGACTGAGTTCTTACAGTGTAGCCATCATTTGGAGCTCTAAGAAAGAAATTACGTAAGTTTCTCCTAACTTGACAGACTATACTTTGAATTACTTCATTGTCTTAACCTGGAACTATCAGTGTATTAGAAGAAACAGACTAGTCAAATTACTTCTTAACTATGTTAATCCTCTAGTGAGTGCAGTCCAGGCCCAAATGATGTTCTTTTTGTATTATTTTTGTAAAAAAGTAATTTATTCCTCTGAGATAGAGAGGAAGAAATACAGAGACTTAAAGGGAGAAACATCAAGAGAGGGAGACTTATAAAGAGAGAGAGAAGTACCCTCAACATGATCATTGCAGCCAGCCCAGATTACAGACAAATGTGCACCTCCAGGGTGTTTAGAGTGGCCTTGGGACATGACCAGAGGACCCTCCCATAAGAGTCTAACATTGTAGTGTTGGTCCCACCCATGCCTCTATCTTGCCCCAAATATAGTTTAGACTAATGCCTGAACCCACATAATCATAAACAGCTAACTTCTGCTGTTGTAAACCTCTCAAGGTCTCACTTTCTGTCTCTTTCACATTCATTATACTTTCACATTCATTATTTCCATTAGACTCTTTCTTGATCCCAAACAATATATATCAAAGAAAATAGTATGCTTCCAGAGAATTGCACTAAGACCCAGTAGGTTCTAATTTTTATTGGGAGACTACAGAAATTGTACTTTTGTCCATTTTGCCAAGGTTTCTCATAAACACTCTTCTCAAAGCCTGTTTCACATCCTTGTTCCTCAGGCTGTAGATAAAAGGATTCAGCATGGGACTCACAAAAATACAGAACACTGCCACGATTTTCCCTTGCTCAACAGACTGCTTATTGGCTGGTCTCAGATACATACAGAAGAGGGACCCGTAGAACATAGTGACAGCGGTCAGGTGGGAGCCACAGGTGGAGAAGGCTTTGCGCTGCCCTTCACTGGATCGGATCCGCATAATGGTGGTAAAAATAAAAAGGTAGGAGATGAGGATGATGAGCAGGGAGCCTGTGAGGTTGATCCCTGCTGACACAAATAGGGCAGTTTGCTTTATGTACGTGTCAGAACATGTCAACATCAGGAGAGGTGGATCAGCACAGTAGAAATGGTTAATGGTGTTGGGTCCACAAAAGGACAAACGAGAGGTCAATATTACCTGCATCGTAGCTACCATTGAACCCCAGAGGTAGGGGAAAGTGACCAGGCAGATGCAAACTGGCCTGGACATCCTGCTGCTATAATGTAGGGGATTGCAGATTGCCATGTACCGGTCATAGGCCATGGCACCCAGCATGTAATACTCAGTAAGGAGCAGAGTCACAAAAACAAAACACTGGGCCAGACACCCAGTGTAGGAAATGGTCTTCTTCTCAGAGAAGAAATTAGCAAGCATCTGAGGAGAAACATTAGAGGAATAAAAAATATCCACGCATGCCAAGTGGGTGAGGAAAAAATACATTGGTGTTTGGAGCCGGGGAGTAAATCTGATTAGTAAGATCATGCCAAAATTCCCAGTCAGGGTAATGAGGTAAATCAGGAGAAATACAACAAACAGAATGGGCTGCAGCTCTGGCTGGCTGGTCAGTCCCAGAAGAATGAACTCAGTTGCCTCCGTGCCATTGTGTTTTGGAACTATCTTCATCTTTATAGTATCTCTAAAAACAAAAAGCAGACTATGTTAGGTGTAAGATGAAAAAATGTATGTCAGTCAAGAAGAGACAAAATCAATGAGCACTAAAACAAACTGGATTTGTAAAGAAAAGGTGTAAGAAAAGTTCCCACTGAGATGGAGTATTTTGTGGTGTTGAAGTTTTTAGTGATGCTGATGAAAGTAGGCTGTAAGAGATTTTTTTTTTTTATTCAATTGAGAGATTTTAACTATAGGGTACATGCACTAGCTGTAGAAGACAACTCCCTTGGGATGGCCATACAACAATCCTTTCTTTTCTATTCTCCTCTTGGAATTTTGGGCACACACACACACGTGACCAGTGTGAGTTTTAAGACTCCATGTCTAGGATGAAAACTGAGGTCGATTTCATGGGCGTCCAGTGACTTAATGGTTATGTACCGATGTGGTGCAGCTGCTTTGTAATTCCCACCTGAACTGTGCCAGTAGAGGTGGGAATTAACTGAGCTCTTGGTGCCCCTAAGATTTTCAAAACTTCTGCCTCTCAAACACGGCTATTGTCTAATCTGGCAATGTGCTGGATAAACGATGACCATAGATCGTTTCTGCCATTCCTAGCAAAGGCAAGCCTTCTCTTTATTAGGGAACCATGTATTTTTTGAGAGACCATATACCTACAGTCAAATTTATTTCTTCCTAATTTCTTACTTATTCATCCATAACAGTATTTGCTCCTTGCCCCTTGATATTTTTTCCACACCAATTCCTTTGTTCCAAATCAACCACTAATAATGTAGACGATTTCTTCACTTAATAATCACTTACATTTCATACATCTTCTTTTCTCTGAAGATATTCCAATTTACTTTACATTACATATTTTTATTTCAAATTATCTCATGTCCTTGACTTTATGCCTTATATATGAACTATAAGGTGGTAATGTAGTTCTCTTTTCAAAATTTTGCAAACTGAATCTAAACAGCATTTCTTCTGTTACTAGTCAGGTCCAAGATAAAATTATCTTTTGTCTAAATTGCAGCCCTGATTTATCTTCTTCAACACTTCAAATCCTGCATTCTTCAGATCCCACAAAAACAAATCACATTATGTTACTTACTGGGTAAAATGGTTCAAGATTATTTTATCAGTCTTGAGGTGAAATCTAAAATTCTTACCAAGGGCTTATGTGATGTCTTTCTACTCACCCTCCCCAACTTTTCTCCTACCACTTTCTCTCAAATCGGTCTTATCCTGCTACACTGTCAAGGCTGTCCTTAAACATGCTAAGCACACTCCAGTCATAGTACCTTTGCATATGCTATTTCCTCGCCTGTTCTGTTTCTGTTCTGATGTAGATCTTTAAGTGACTCCCTTCATTACTTTTTTTAGATCTATCTTCTAATAAAACTTCCTCTAAAAGATATTATACAGCTACTTGTCTAATTTAGTTCCATTCAAAAAAAAAAACCCTTTAGTTATGAACCACTCACAATACATTGTTCCTCATACCATCTACGGCTACTGAAATCATTGTTTGTTTATATGCTGTTTGTCTATCCATCCCAATAGAATTTCAATAACTTTGTTACTCAAGTTACTACAGAGCATGTACACTTTCCAGAAAGAGAGAGAGACAGAAAGACAGAAAGCTACAAATCACCCCCCAGGAGGATGGCCACACTGCAATCCCTTCTCTCCCATTCTCTTTTCAGGATCTTGGGCATGCACGTACGTGTGCCTGACCAGAGTTTAAGCCACTGGATCTGGGACTTGAACTGTAGTCAACTGCATGAGAGTTCAGCAACATAGCCATTATACCAATTGCTGGTCCTCTCCCCAGTAGAATGTTAGCCACACGTGGACAGAAACTGTATTTGTGCCACATCCCCAGAACATACTATGTCTGAATCATAGTAGATATTCACTAACCATGATTTACTAACCAAATGAATCAATGAGGTATCTTTGCCAACTTACATCAGCTCTTTTTTCATGGTATATGAATGTCTTACTCTTTGATATTATCAATGGAGTCTGAGTTAATATAAAAAGCTCTTATTACAATGTGAGCAAGTCCCAGATCCAGTGGCTTAAACTCAGGTCAGGCACACGTGCGTGCGTGCCCAAGATCTTGAAAAGAGAATGGGAGAGAAGGGATTACAGTGTGGCCATCCTCCTGGGGGGTGATTTGTAGCTTTCTGTCTTTCTGTCTCTCTCTCTTTCTGGAAAGTGTACATGCTCTGTAGTAACTTGAGTAACAAAGTTATTGAAAATCATGCCTGGCCAAAAATCTAGTTGATAGTTAAAACTTGCAGGTAAAGCTGTGGTGGCAAAGGTGGTTGAGAGCTGCCGTGCAATGTTGAAGCCATATGGGGTCCCTGGGTTGAAGCCATGTGGGAGTCCTGGGTTCAGTTTTCAGGTTGACCTGAACACACCCAGTGCAAACAGGTGGAGGGTCAGTGAAGGACTGCTCCATGGTGGAACTCTGTCAAGTGTGTTTGTCAGTCTCTCCCTCTCACACTCACTTTCAATAAATACACAAATGAACAATAACAATTAAAAAAAAAGACCTGGATATGATATTGTTGGGAATTGGGTTTAAATCTACCAGGAATTGAAAAACATAGACTACCTTTATTAATACTGCAAATGTTGCAAGACTAGGAGGACATAGAATGTTTATATCTTTTTTCTAATAATTATTTTATTTTATTTTTTACTTATTCTTTTTTTAATTCACCAAAGAGATACAGAAATCAAGTCTCCAGGTCTGGACTCGAACTGCGGTTGGCCATGTGGGAGTTGAGTACATCAAACACCATACCACTTGCTGGCCCTGAGAATTTATATCTTTGAAAAACTGCAATATTACTTTATTAAAATCACTTATTCACAAATATTTAGTTCAGTAATTGTCTACCCTTGCTTTCCAGGGGCGTCAGGTAGGGAGTTTTAAAAACCCTGATAACTGATCCTGGCTTACCTTGGTAAGGGATACACATTGGAATGATATTTTTAACAAGTTTCTGTATGACCATAATGCATAGCCAGAGTTAAATATTGAACTGGACAATTGAAATACCTGTTTAAACTAAAAAAAAAAAGAATTATGAAATAAGCTGTTTTCCCCCTTACATTCTCTCCTTGCAGTGAATTTTACAAGTCCCCACAAGTGTATCAGTTGCCATTTTCAAGGCTCATAAAATATTGTCCATAGGACCAACAAATGGCAGAATGGTTATGTTCCTGGACTTTCATGTAGTTGACTGCAGTTTATGCCCCAGACCTGGTGGCTTGAAACTTACACCACACACATGTACATATGTGCCCAAAATACTGAGGGGAGACTGAAGGAGAAGGGATTGTGGTGTGACCATCCACCCTGGGAGGGTAATTTCTCCCTTTATGCCTCTTGGTCTCTCTCTCTTCTCATTAGCAAGTACATGTACACTATAGCAAAAGTCTCTCTAAAAAAAAAAAGAACTCTCTAAAAAAACTTTTCTTACACACATTTAAAAGTAGGAAAAATTCAGCCTCTGTCATAAGCCCTGATAGTATTCTGTTAGCTCTAGAAAGTTTGTAAAGAAAGAATCTTTCTAAGGGCCTTGATGTTCCTATCTCAAGTCTTTCCACTAAAAAAAGACAAAAAAAAAAAAAAGACAGCCTTTTTAATAAAAAGGTCACACTTTCCCATTATTTATTACATACAGTGCAGGATTTCATTTACAGGACACACAGGAAGAAATATGACTTGCAGAAGGAGAACTTGAGACAGTTATGGCTCAAATTACGAGCAGAAGTGGCAGTAGGAGGTAACCGTGTGTTATCAGCACTAATGTGTCCATAGTTTTAAAATAGTCTAGGAAGTGTGTGTGTGTGCTGAATAACACCTGAGAATTTCGAAACTCACATCACATAGCATAACACATAGCTCCCTGGGTCTCTCCAGAGCGCCTTATCCCATATCCCATATCACTAAAAGTCCCCCTTTTCTTTAAGTGGTGGTCTCTCATCTAACTGGAGGGTGAATGAGAAAATGGGAAGATTCACAACATTCCTTCAAAGAAGGTAAAAAACAAATCATAATGGAATTGCTGATACAATCCTAGTAGTACTTTCCACAGGTAAAATTTAAAGCTCTATACACAATGCAAGGTTGGGGTGGGCGAAGTCTTTAAGCCTCAAGAATCTTGCCTGAGAATTCTGGTTAAGTGGTTGCATCAGCTGAACGATCAGTAGATTTATAGCAGTGTTGGGAAGGGTCACAAATGCAGTAGAGAAAACTATTTTCCCCTAGAACAGAACAATAGAAAGCCTGTTTTTGATGTTTATGGGCACAGCAAAGCCACCAGTATTTCAGGCCAACTCAGATTGGAGAAACCTAGGAGGAATGCCTTGAAATGAAGAAGGAATGGTGCTCAAATTGTTTTGTTTCTTCTAAACTTTTATCTTATATTTTTTTCCAAATCTTTTGATATTTTTCTTCTTATAATAACTGTATGGAATCATTACAGGCTTATAGAGTGTGTATCTATTTTAAGTTATCAAATTGTAATGCTTTAGGCTTAGGGAAGGCAAACAAGTGAATAGAGAAGAATGACTTTCAATTTCAAGAATTGGCTAAAACTTCACATGTGAGCTCACTCCACATCTCAGTTTTAACCTCACTAATGCATCTTTCACCAAGGTTAGGGGTGGCCGCATGGCTGGTATGTCCTCCTGATACATCATCAGTAATGCTGCTGGCTTTTTTAAAGATTCTTGGGTCTGTCTGCCTATGGTTTTGTTTTAATGTGACAATTTTTATGGTCCCTAATTCTATTTTATGTTCAAAAGAGGAAATAATAAAGAAAACATTTCTAATGAATTTTCGATTTTCAAAACTGTCAGACATACCTGTGGGGAGATAGTGATTTGTTATCCTCTCTGAAGTGCTTCTAAGTGGGAGGATTTATACCTGATTGGCTGACCTTGGGAAAATCTTCCCTAAAGATTTAATCAACTTATCA